GTGCAGTGTCGTATTGACATCTATGTACCAAGTTTCATTGAAATGTGATGATTAGTACTCGAGATATCAGTGAAAAAAACGAAAATTGACTAATCATTATGCAAATTAGGTAATTAGTATCCACGGATTATTACCAAAAACTAATCAAAACCTAGCATTAGTTCAGAGCATCTACCCGGTATGTACCAAGTTTCATCAAAATCCAATGAGTGGTTGTTTAGATATCAGTGGAACAGTAATGGAACCACTAAAAAAATAGCTAATTATCATGCAAATTAGGTAATTAATATGCACAGATTTTTACCAAAAATTAATCAAATCTACGCATATGTTCAGAGCATCTATGTACCAAGTTTCATCAAAATCCAATGAGTGGTTCTTTAGATATCAGTGGAACAGTCATAGAACAGCTAAAAATTAGCTAATTATCATGCAAATTAGGTAATTAACGAGCATGGATTTTTACCAAAACCTAATCAAATCTGCGCATTGGCCCAGAGCATCTATGCACCAAGTTTCATCAAAAACCGATGTATGGTTCTTGAGATAGCAGTGGAACAGTCGGACACACATACACACATACACACACACATACACACATACACACATACACACATACACACATACAGACACACTAACTGCAAAGACTCCCATTTTGTGCTTCGCACATGGGAGTCAAAAAGTGGATTTCATGAAATGAAAATTTTTAATGATTATAATTAATACTTTATAAACCATTCTCTTGCTAGTTGAATATGGCTCCCCGATCGAGCACGTCAAACAATGGTCTAAATATAAACAACAACCAGGATTCTTATGGCTGAAATATGAAGACATGCTGAAGGTAAAACAAACGTAATAATTCAAATAAATACGGAGTGTATATTAGGGTTTGTAATTACAAAGTCACTGCACAGTTTGTGGACTCCTTATGAAACGATATGATGTTTAGCTGTGCTGTTATATTTATTATATGTTATGAGTCAATGCACAGGATAAAATGTGTAAACATTCAACAAACTACACTACTACTGACATGATTAGTTGTACCAAAACATATTCTCAAGATAAAATGATTATTAAGTGTGTTTAATCTTTTCCCCAGCATAACCCATTCTATAATTGATCACTTAATTAACTTGTATTGATTTTCCAGAATCCAAAGAACATATACTACAAGATCGCACATTTCTTAGAAATACAAATGACTGAAGAAGAAATGGAGGTTGTTATGCGTTTTTGTGATTTTAAATATATGCAAGAGTTTTTCAAAAATGACCCAGTAGCTCAAGATTTTATGGAAAAAGACGGGAATCATGTAAGAAAAGGTGCGTCAAGTTTGTGTTTGCATATTTATTAATGGAGCGAACTATCTATTATTACAAGAAACCAAATAACACGTCAGTAATATTTGGTGAATCAAGCACACAATTATTATTTTATTGCAAATTTTAGTTTTTCTGCATATATGTTCATTCATTGTGAATATGCAAATATGATGTACAGTACTTGAAATGTGAATTTCCACATAAAGTGGATATGAAATAACATTTTTAGTCCCTGTCCGTCCGTGCGTCCGTCCAGAATCATATCTCAGAATCCCTTGGACCGATTCCGTTCATTCTTTGCATGTGCCTAGTACTTTATCTGGGACATATGCACATGCAGTGGTTTAGCGATTCGATTCAAAATGGTCGACTGTAGTACATCGATCATACATGTTAGGATACATGTCTCCGACCGTCCGTGAGTTCCTGAGTCTGTCTGTCCGTCCGTCAGTTCGTGTGTCAGTCTGTCAATAGTAATATTTCAGAATCCTGTGGACCGATTCCGTTCATTCTTTGCATGTGCCTAGTACCTTATGTGGGACATATGCACATGCAGTGGTTTAGCGATTCGATTCAAAATGGCCGACTGGCAGCCATCTTGTTTTTTGAAAATGTTGTATTTTGGACATGCTTTGTCAGTTTTCATTCAAATTTGGTACATATATTATACATGTTAGGATACATGTCCATGACGATTTATTTCACAATTGGATCAAAGATGGCCGACTGGCAGCCATCTGGTTTTTTGAAAATGTCGTATTTTGGACATGCTTTGTCAGTTTTCATTCAAATTTAGTACATCGATCATACATGTTAGGATACATGTCCTCGACCGTCCGTGAGTTCCTGAGTCTGTCTGTCCGTCCGTCCGTTCGTGTGTCAGTCTGTCAATAGTAATATTTCAGAATCCTGTGGACCGATTCCGTTCATTCTTTGCATGTGCCTAGTACCTTATGTGGGACATACGCACATGCAGTGGTTTAGCAA